CGGAGGACCTCCCCTATTTAAGGGCAAAGCTGGCCGGAGAAAGTAGTCCTCCGGCCCAAGGTGAGGGGGCTGGGTTCATGCCCGATGGCGAGGATAAAAAAGGAGTGAAAGGGGTCGCAAATGGATAAAAAAACCCGTTCGAGTACATGACACATGCATGTCAGATATTAAAGCGTAACATCCGTGAAGCATGCCCTAACAATCACAATGATATACCAAGGAAGAATATGTTAATCCTATTGGAAATTTCAGGCTGCTTATCATATAAATGGCACTGTATACTGTAGAACAATGGATGGATGCCTTCGCCCGAAATGCATCTGCCAGTTCCAAGGGTCAGGATCCTGCCTTTTCCTTCATATGCCCCTTCACGGTCTCCCAACGACGCAGTACATCGATTCAGCTCCATTTCCTCGTCGAGGATGATTAATTGGTTTTAACCATATTTTTCCAGTAGCGTAGCCAAGATTTGGTCTTGATGCAGTTGTTGCTAGGCGAGATGTTCCATAACAATGGCTCATGAACTTCGACTCTTAAATTGAATTTTGACGTCAAGGCGGAGTAACTATCCTCCTTCAGCTGCCCCCCTTCCCGCAGTTACTCAGATTTCTCAAACTATTCTTTGTCTTCCTCGATCATCATACAGTTTCCTCGTATGCGGCCCCCAACGACCGAAATCCAACTCATTACGCCACTGTTTCTCCTGTTGACGTCATATGTCAACATATTAAAGTCGTAGCCAGGATACCGAATGCGACCTTGGCGTGCAAGGATCCCCTTATGACGCTGAAATATATAATTTAAGGATCGCTGGCAGTCGAGGTTTTTGGATAGTCATATTTGATTTTATTGGGACATCCACGTGTCATCTGTATCATTTTGAGCTAGCCGCCATTCTGTTGGTGCACTGGAAGCAGCAAAAATTACATATTTCATGTCACCTACAGGTGAATATCTTTCATGCTCAATTTTGTCTAAATTTCCTAGGAGTGGCTACTTAGCGGAAGAGGAAAATATATCGGAATATCCTGTTGAAGCTTCTATTTGGTGTTGTAATATGCTTCCATTTGGTGCCCGTGTAAACGCAAGTAGCGACGAAATGACGGATAAGACGGCGTATTTCGGTACGGATACTTAAAATCCATAGATTCATGGCACCAGGATCACTGCATTCCCTCACTGCAGGGATCCCGCAGTGATCACTGCCGAGTTCTACGGTAACTCTCGTTTCCTCGTTCATCCGAGAGATGGCGAGACGAGAGCGATTGTCTGATTTCCTGCGGAAGTTGCTTCCCCTCCCCTCCATTTCGTGTGGCCGATCTCTTGGTACATGAGAGGTGCATTTCGAAGGTTTAGGACTTCAGTACCATGTGACCCGTAAGGCAAATTCCATAACTCGCAGGCAACGTCAGCTAGAAAGACATGTAATAGCTCATAAGATAGGCGTGAAAAAAACGGAATGTAAACATCACTACGAAAACATGATCTATATGAAACCTGATATCTATGTATGTTTGAAAATGAATTTAATTTTTGTTATTTTCACGATCTAATCGGGTCATTCCATGACAAATCGACATAAAATTGGATATTAACACCCAACCCCGTCAGATTTCCATGAAGTTATGTATATTACTTTCCTTTTCCGCAGAACGAGGAAAAGTGAAATTTCAGTGCAATCGGGTCAGCATAAAAGCTGCAGAAATTAGAGGCATCATATAGAGATGTCTACCTATATCCCATTTTGATTCACGTATAACTCAAAAGCACTTACAAGAAATCCTTGATCAATGTATCAATTCACACAGAATCACGTGAGGATGTGAACATTAAAAGGAGAAATTATTTTACTGATCGAAGGATTTCATCCTGCGATGCCAATATCGCTTCAAGTCTGTTCATGAAGGCAGAGGAAGAGTTTGGGACATTTGTCCTTAGTGACAGTAATAACTTGCTGTCATCAGAAACAAATTTTAGTGCAACATTTTTAGTGTTTTTCTTTTGATGGCATTGACCACAAGATTCCTGGAAATTTCATTTATTCACCTCAGCAGCTCACTCAATTGAATCTGGAATGGAAGGAACACAATTTACTTTCATTAGGATACGAAATTAGGTTTTTCACCTGAAGTGCCAAGTTCAAAATCTCTGTCTATATGCAGCATTGTCTTAATTTTGCTTAAAGGATTTGCCTGCGAGTTATGGATTTTGCCTGAGGGGTCACGTGTTACTGAAGGCCTAAAACTTAGAAATTCACATCTCATGTACCAAGAGGCGGAAAACCTAAACATATCGGATTCTGCCATTTCATGGAAGGACTGATGATTCGAATATACCCAAATGATGCAATATTGCCGAAATCGAGGAGAAAAAGGGTCTTACTTATTGTGTTGCATCGTGGAATACCCCCATACAACATAGGTTGTTGGGATGTGCTGATTCAAAAATTGCTTTCTCTGATACAAAACAATAATATTTTGTAGATTTTCTTATCGCTAGCAAAGACATGGACCATTCCACTGAATTTTTTCCTGAATTTTAAATTTCGGGACTAATCCCAAGTTTAAAGGTCAAAATGTTTGGCGATAAAAAACTTTGATAGAATTTTTCCAGAGTTATCGTGTGTGCCCCTTTTTCACATCCTCACGTTATTCCGAGTGAATGAGTGGTCCTTGAGCAAGGACCAAGCATGAATCGTTCCTGAGTTACAGAGCATTGAAAATCGGAGGCAAGACGGTATCACCAAATTTTGAGCACCCTGTAGCTTTTGATCTGGTGATGCTATAGCGCTGAAATTTAGTGTATCCGAGTTTCGTCGAATAACGAGATCAAATGAAATATTTCATGAAAATCGAAGAGGGTCGGGTGCTAAATTCCAAATTTTTGGGGCGATTTTTCCTGGAATTACCCTGGAGCTAGCTAGAGGTGATGACCATCGAAAACACGTCTAGTTGTCAAAAAAGTATAAAGGTCCAGACCTTTATGGTTTTTTCTATGCCCTACCTATGACAGCTCTTATCTATGCAAATGTCGGATGGTTAGGATTCGACAAGAGGACATTTCCAGTAATACTCCAATGGTATAGGTGCCATAGGAATGACAGTTCTTTCCCTGGACAACTACTCTACTTTGCATTGCGTCAAACTTTGTTAAAATGGAGTAAAAGAGTCCAATCTCAGTTGAAGCATAAATGAACGAATTTTGTCCGTATCCACTCATAATTAGCTTATATATGAAAATGGCGATACATACACGACATTTTTTTCAATTTAACTAGTTACTTTTACTTTTGTGCGGTTATGTCTGTATGATGATTCCCTTTGTTACGTCATAACACTCTTCCTCTCCCGCGTCGTCGCGGGCACATTTTACATAGACTCACGGAATCAAGACGATTCGAGTTGAAATTCCTTCTTCCTGTTCACAATTGTTGCTGGAGCTAGCTAGCAGTCAGGATCGCGCACGCAATTTGATTAACCCCCGGACCAGCGTCGCTTCGCAACCGAAAACCGGAATTTTTCTATTTTCATACGGTGGTGGATATCTACGTATTACGCCGTCACGTTTTTTTTTTCACTTACAATGTCAAGGAGAATAGATTGAATAAATGAACAATCTCGAAATAGCAAATGTCGCCTGCAATGCTTCTTTGTTATAACAACCATGAAGGAAGCTGCAATTTCTCACGTAAACATGGTATATTCCCAAGCAGTTGGAAAAAAAAAGACAGGGAAGCTTTTTGGGAACCGAATTTAGTTAAACCATCGGAGGACAAGACATGTGATGCCCAGCTCCCCCCACGAGGGGAAGGGTCTCCACATCTTCGAAACGGCATTCCTCAAGTCCGATCAAGAATATAAAGTTGACTTGCAAAACACGCCACATCATCGAAGAAGTAAAGAAAAAGAAAACAACAACAACAAAAAAACTGCCAAGGAAATTCGGAATGAACGGGCCTCGGCATCACTCCCATCCCGCTCCTGGGCCCGACTGCACCCTCCTCGTGTTCCGTCCCTGAGAGCATCCCGAAGAACGGAATCGGACGGGCTTTCGCATCTCGACGCGGGTTTGCTCGGGCGAATTCGAAGCTTCGATTTCGCGGGGTCGCGGAGGACACCTATTATCGCTTTTTAAAAATATATACATTTAATTCCTGATTTATTGTTCTTTCTCAGCTCCCGCGGTGTTTTCGCTAAAAAAAATAGCACCCCTTGAAAAGAAAGATCTTGACATATAGATCACGAAAATTGGACTTTATTTCATAATGCATCACTTTGCTTCATAAAATGAAATTAGCTGTTTGGTAATTAGGCATATTTTGTACTTAGTCTTGTCCCAAAGTGAATCGACTATCGAGTAGGAGTTGCATTGGATTCGCAACTCCTGCATTCTGAGTCATTTCTGTGTCTGGATCTAATGTTTTTTTTAAATGTAGAATTCGTGAGATGAGATTGAAACAGTCGTTAGCCGTGTTCGATCGATATGGTGGGATAGGAAGATGTCCCTTATAGGTAGTAGGTCGAGCGTTGAGATTCCATTTGAATGAAAGATTGTAAGGGAAGGACAGACGCGAAGAATGTCCATGGGTTAGACATAGAGTAAACCTTAGTCAGTCCTGTAGAGAGAGAGAGAGAGAGAGAAAGAGGCAGGGACGGGAGAGAAAAAAAAACCTTTTAAAAATTGCGTTCTAATTCACAATAAATTCATGTGAAACCGAAATAACAGAGTAACCATGATGTAGAAAGGAAAACGCAACTTGAGGGGGACCCCGACTCAAAATTATTCCTCAATGGCTATCATATTCACACCCAGGAACGAACGCCCATTTTAAGGCAAATCTACTCTAAAAGTGAGGGACAAAAAAGGTAGCAACCATATTTTCATCTTTCTGAAGTTCTCTATCTGCTTCACAGCTTGCTGCTCCTTATTGCTCCCTAGTTTTCCGCATCTCCTCCAACTGATAGCATGTCCTCGTAGTATTCGTCATCCATCCCATTTTCCTTTGCAAGCATCTCGGATACTACCTGCATTTGCTTGAAGTATGATTCATGAAATTCGTCGGGCAATGCTTTCTGAAACTCGTCGAGTGCCTCCTCAAACTTGTTCAATAACGAAAGTTGCAGATTCAGGAAGGCACTCCAAAAGGTGTGCATTGCTGACTTCTGGAACAGCGGTGATTCGGTGGTGCCAGCTGGTGGTTTCCTGGTGGTGCCCCTGGTAGCGCCTCCGGACGGTTTTCTCGTCGTAGCTGCTGGCATTCCTCCACCGGTGCCTCGTTTCACTCTTGCATTTGCGTCTCCTTCAGCTCCATCTACCTGTACTCGGGCACCTCTATCCGCTAGTCCTCCAAGAAGTGCTGCTTCAGCTACTTCTGAAGATCCGTCATTGACTACTCCTTCAAGTCCAACATTAGGGCCTTCTAAAGCTGTTTCTGATCCTTCTTGGAATTCTCTTGCATTCGCTTCTTCAGAAGGTCCAGCGACATCTTCCAACTCTTCCATCGGAGCTCGTCTTGCAGCATAAGCTTCTTCTCCAACGCCAACTCCTTCCAAATCCTTTCCTGCTGATTCTGATCTCGCTCTTTTTCCGTCATCGCCAGTTGCTTCTCCAGTTGATCCGTCCACAGCATTGCTTATTGCAACCATTCTCAATTCGTCAGCATGGTTTCCTGCATTTGCCCCTCCAAAGCCTTCCCCGGTCTCTTTTCCACTTCCTTCAAGGACTCGTCTTTTTTTTCCTTTTTCCCTTTTCCTGAATAAAAAAAAATTCATTGTTCATCTCATATAAAACTATGGCAGCGAAAGTGAGGAAAAAGCCTCGTGTTTCTCGAATGTACGAAACTTGTACTTCGCATGTATTGCGATGCTAGCAATGATGAACAACAAGGAATACCTTAGTCTAACAATTAAGGGCATATACTGGTAATTTAGCGGAGTCTATGCCTGAGTGCGTTGCTTGCATGCCATCCCGAACAGTAACGAATTCTTTTGAAAGACTATTTCAAACTCGTGCTCTATTACACAAGGTGTTCATAGTCTTGATTCCAATCAATCACATATTAATCAGCCAGTCTCATGTCAACGTGCTACTCCAGATTTTCCCTGCAATGCGGCTGCAAAATGATAAATGACTGGGAAGCATTTGGAACTTCCCATCCAAGCCCAATATCTTTGCTTTACTAAATTTGTGATTGTATATTGTATATACGAATTCATGCACCATGCAAGGTCCGCAAAAAAATGATGTTTAGACCAAATACACTCTTATTAAAACCATGAGGCATTTTTGTCAGACTTGAATAAAGCGAACGTCGGTCAAAAACAGACAGCGTCCTCCTTTAAAATCACAACCCGCAACTCCGAAGCAACATTGGGGTGTAAATGTATACAACCTGCCCAGAGTCGACATGTAGGTTCACAGGTCGCCCGTGTCATAATGCCTCTTGATTATGAAAGGGTGGAGCCCCGCTCGTCTCCTGTCCAAGAACGAAGAAGGCCTTTCACATGCACCACGCAATCGGTGCACTGAGTGAACAGGTGGCCTTGTGGGCGCGGCATCCGTCGGGGGAACCTCTTGAGCGCTTGAAGAGAATTTTCCCGTCTTGCTTCGTTCCAGTGCAGCCCTCGAGAGACTCTTTTCACCATTCGCGATTCGTCCGCCAGGCAGAAGACTATGTCCATGCGCAATGAAGATCACATATTTTATATCATCGCCGCCGATATCAAAATGAGAAAGGGTAAAAGGAATTTCAGAACTGCTAGACGAATTCATAATCCTTCTTGCCTTAAAACATACCTTCCAATACATTATGTCTCTTATGAATGAAGTTCGAAGAAGGTCTTTGCTGATTCTGTTATTCCGCTGAGGAATATCCTCAACTCCTCAACTCAACTGAGTCCTCAACTCAACTAGAACACGAATTGTTTGCATGCAAAAGACCTTGACATTACGCCAGGTTACATTTATGCAACGGCAAGAACAGTTACCAATGATTTCCGTGATCAACGTGACCCGATTCTATTTGAAGTTCTAGGAGTAAAAAGAGTCTATTTTGTACGTGGACAGGCTAAGGGTATGGGATTGACTGATGTCACGCTGTGCTACGGAAGCTTTCAATCACTAACGCACAAGCGTGTCGAGGCGCACTTGAACCACCAGTACTTCGCTTTGAAAATTCTCCCGTCCCTCTCGCTCTCCGATCGAGCTGACTCTCTCTTCTTATATTGTGAAATAGATTTCGATGTCCTACGCTCACGTTTCCGCACAGTCCATCATTCAGTTTCTGGTCATCAATTTTGCTCAGCGATTCTACTCTCGAAGGACTTCTCATCCAGGTTCCTCCATAAACTTGTCAGTAAACTGTGCAAAAGAATGAAAAATTTAAAGGCAATGAATGCGAATATGGCCGGGGGCGGGACTCTCGCCATCCCTGCCACCTAGATGGCACATGTTGGCAAAGTGAGAAGACAGGGCGCGACAAAAACCCCCTTAATATCCTGAAATTCTCACCCTGAGCTTCGTTAATCTGCATGTTAATAGTAAGTCGGACGAGTAACTGACGCAGGGCGAAGACGAAGGGCAGCCCAAAGATAAAGACGTTGCCTTAAATCGTCGCTTTGTAGGACAATGTGGTACGTGGGCCTTCATTGGCGGCCTACCGCTACTCTGTCGACATCGCAACCCGCCATGCATGTTTCCGAACGTTAGTCGCCTTTTGGCTACGTTGCGTGAACCTGTCACCGCGGCAATGGGAAAACACAGGCGATCGACCAGCGCGCAAGCATGGGTCTCGTGTGAGTGCGCATGCGCCAAACCCCCACCAACAAAGCTTAGGACCACAATAGATTTTATTCTGCTGATTCTCTTTACTATCTCTTTTAAGGAGATCTCCAATCGTTAATAGCTCAATTTACGTTCCTCAATAAAACTGCAGAAAGAAGAACCGGGAAGAAATAGTTCAGTAATACAATTGATATGATATGCCTCCAAGTGAACCACATCCCATCCGGCGATACTCACATTTCACAAACGCTTGGAACCCGTCCGCAGAAATGAGCTCGCCCCCACCCTCGTGAATCAGCTGGCAGGTGCCATCCGATTCCTTGAAGTTGAAAGCGTGGCACTGGAGGGACCGCTCGTCCTGGGCGCATGCGGCGCTGCATTCCTCAAAGTCAGCCGAGATCTCATTTGACACAATTCCGTATCGGTGTCCTGGGTGTATGGACCAATACACCAAGGGTTGGAATGCAGATCCGACCCAGAGCAGGCTGGACAGCGTGGCCAGCGTGAAAGAATAGCCCATCGCCCTGCCAGGATGTATAAATTCAATCACGCATTCAGCCACTATGCTGTTGAATTCAGTTATAAAGGAAATTCATACACTCCCTCTGAAATCATATTCCAGTTTATCCATGAATAAAAAATAAGGGGCATATCGATTCCGTCTCACCTGATTTCTGGGGCAGTGGTGGTTACGTGAATCACATATACAGGGGGCCACTGCAGAAAAACACATGGAAACTCCACCGAAGGGCTTACATTTGCTTGAAACAGGATGGTCTCCTTAACACTTTCAGTAGTTTAAGAAAGGCCTGTAACATACCTAACGCGAAAGAAACCTTCAAAATTCAGCCTTCCATTTTTGAGAAACGAGCGAAACAGATTCACGTTGGTTTTCAACAAGTCATGAGCGCCGAGAAAAATTAAGTGAGAGTAGTATGCGCTTTGGACATCATTAACTTTTTCCGATCCACTGTAGGGAGTCATCCGGTATTCGAGTTTTATCTGGTTGGATTTCCCGGCGGTAATATACTATTTTCGTATTGCTATACATTTTCTTCTTGTCGAGTAACATGAAGAGCCGGAAAAATGTCATACTTTATCTGTATGAATCGCGCCGCCGAGGGAATTGAAATCGGACTCCATCAGGGGTAAATATTTTCTGCAAATGCGGACCAGAACATATTGAACATTTTTCGGAAATGAAAACATTTCAGTTTCGCTAAAATAATCCATCATCAAAAAGGCTGAACGATGAGGACTTGATTTGCCCCCTTGCATTGAAATTGTAGATGCACGAGACGCCAAGTGTCAAATTTGCCACGCAACCTTGAAGTTAACTTTTTTTGAGATATTGTTTGAACGGGAAGCCTTTTTTAATTCTCATCTCATAATGCCTTTTTTCTCTTGGGTTTCACAGCAACAGCCTTCGAGAATGTTCCAGACTCACCTGGAAAGCAATACGATCCGATTTGTCGTTCTCTTCCCTGCCCTTCTCGCCTTTTCCTGCTCGCTGCGCCTCGGTCACCTTACAGAAAAAGCAAAAGTTATATATGAGAAGAATATAAGTGCCATGAACATGAGGCCTTGTTCGCTTTGTGCTCCCAATGTTCCATTTACATATCGGCCTTGGCCAACATTGCATCATAGATAATCATATTACATATAAATGAAGCACCTGCGCGAAGTGAAACCAGCAGGAAGACTAACAGGTTTATAACACCAATGAATGCACTGTTTACAAATTAAAAATGTGATATAGGAACGGTATAGTTGTTAATACCGAAATACCGAAACTAAAACGGCAGTATTAAAGTGCATTGTCAACTTCGATTGCTGCTCTTCAACTCGTGCTGAGAATAGTGAAAATCTACCAACAAACCAACCAACCAACCTCACTGAAGTAACATGGTTACGACGAAAAAGTCCAAGTCACGGAGAGTGGGACTTCCTAGGACTGCATCCGCCCTAGGTATGAGACTGGCATGTACTGCACCGGTAGTTTCATGGCTTTCGAAACGGCGCAGTTTATCGGTTCAGGCGAATTTCCACAATGAGCATGATTAATTGATTTTCTCCAACGTTTCTCAGTACCGCAGCTAGGATTTCACTATGTTGGGGGGAGTTGCTACGCGAGAACTTTCACGACGACAAAACTTCATCGATTAGTGGTAGAGGCACTTCCTGCTCCACCCACCATCAGGCAAAGGGAGTCTCATCCCTTGGTTGCATTATTCTTCCCGCTACCATCTCAACCTCTTCCTTGCCTTGTTGTGCAAGCGTTTAGTTTGGAGATTCAGGGGAATGGCCTCCTTACCTCGGAATTCCCCTCGCCACGCCTCTATTTCTATTTTCCCCAGCTCTTTCCATAATATTTATAGAACAGGCGTTGCCAGGTGACCTAGTGATTCCCTGGCCCTCAATCCAGGCCTTCAAGTCTCTCAATCTATGTTCTTCGCGTATAATGTTTACCATCATTCCTAAATACTGCACCATTTCCGCAGTCCAACAATCTCATGATGAAATCCTGGTTGATGCATGGATCAATAATCAACGATCAGGACACAAATTGACCTGATGCATTGAAATTGTAGTAGCACGAGACGCCAAGTGTCAAATTTACCACACAACCTTGAGGTTAACCTTTTAAATATATTCTTTGAAACAAAAGCCTTTTTTAAATTCTCATCTCATAACGCTTCTTCTTGGTTTAGCAGTTAGAGCCTTCCAAATATGATAGTTCTAGACTCACCTGGGAATCAACACTATCGGATTTGGCGTTCTCTTCCAGCAAGTCTTCTTTTCTGCTCGCTACGTTTCGGTCACCTTCCAGAGAAAGCAAAATGTATGTATGAGAAGAATATTAGTGCCATGAACATGGGGCCATGTTCGTTTTGTGCTTGCAATGTTCCATTCACAAATCGGCCTTGGCCATCATTGCATCATAGATTATGACATAGCATGTAAAAGAAGCACCTGCGCGAAGTGTAAATAGCTGGAAGACTAACAGGTTTAAAACACCAATGAATGCACTGATTACAAATTAAAAATGTGATATAGGAACGGTATAGTTGTCAATACTGAAATAAGTGGGCTAGCAAAGTTAAAATAACTGAAACGGCCGTTTTGAAGTACATTGTCGACTTCGATTGTTGCCCTTCAACACGTGCTGAGAATAATTAAAACAAACCAACCAACCAACCTCACTGGAGTAACATGTTTACGTCGATGAAGGGAGAGTTGGCGGACGACTACCCAAAACTGCATCCGCCGTAGGTATGAGACTGGCATGTGCTGTACCGGTAGTTTCGTGGCTTTCGAAACGGCGCAGTTTATCGATTCAGGCGAATTTCCGCAACGATCATGATTAATTGGTTTTCTCCAACGTTTCCCAGTACCGCAGTTAGGATTTCACTATGTTGGGGGGAGTTGCTAC